TGCGTTTTTTTTGTCTTATACAAACATTATTTTTGGTTGGCTTGTTGGCCAGAGCGAATGAGTTATGTTACATTTTGCCTATACATTTTTCATTTAGGCATAATTTGACGAAAAAAAAAACAAACACATCCGCGACGCTTCCTATCAGCTGTATACAATGTACAGGCTATAATATCATAACCCTACTACAATATATTATAAATACTGCAGTATGAAACTTTACAATGTTCTTTCGGTGCACTCTAAAGTCAGTGTAATACTAATATAACTGTTGACTGTGGTGGGATATAATAGTGCACAATCTACAAACCCGTGACTGCCGTCCGGGGTTTCCTTGTTGAATTGTTTGTTATCGTCATGGCAAAATATATTATCGCACAATAAAATTGTGGTTAACAGCGCAACAATGTTTTTTTTTCTACTCGAAAAAATTAAATATGTATTATTTGATATTAATCACGCTTTTGTGGCGCCAAGTCATGGTCCGTTAGCTCATTCGTTATGTGAAGAATCGCGCGGGTATATCAATTTTGATGTGTTCATACAATAATTATTATTATAATAATTTTATACATTATCGTATACAAGACAGCAATCTTATGTATAAATTATACATTTCACATTGGAAAATGATGGTCGGTTGGTTTTGCAGAAACGCGTTGAAAATTCTATTTTTCGTGTACATTTGTAAATAAACGGCATACAATTAGAACTAGGCAACAGGAAGTCGACCGCGTTCACACACTATAATGTATTAAACATACTATGTATTATATTTTAATATGAAGATAATAATAATAATGTCGAATCAAATGTAAATACGCCCGTCCAGTGGTCATAAGTGGTAAATGGTATTAATTAAGTTAGTTAGTTACATACGAGACTGTGAAAATATGTTATGTAATAAATCATGTTTTTAATTTATATTTGGTTTTTCGAATATTTATTTTTAGCGATCCAACTGTTTTTATTAAGAGCCAAAATTAATTGTATAGGCTGCATTTATAATAATAAACAACAATTTGCTACCCTTTATAATTCGAAAAGCAAAAGCTATAAACCATAAACGATTTGTTTGATATGTGTATGTGTATCAATATTTGATATTGAGTATATAGTATTTGATGTACACAATATTTGAAGCCATTTATTTTTCAAGTGTTCAAGTGTGATATTCTTAAAACATTATTAATTATTCGTTATAACGTTGACAATACCTACTTATAATCTAATCGATGACAGCCGACAGACGTATTATACAGGGCGTGTCACGTTGTTCTAACCAAGACACATATAAATTATCTCCCGTAATTATAGAACCTTTTACAGTATATTCAATAATTTCACATTACTTATAATATTGTAGTCATCATCATTATCATCAGCTTAGCAGCCAAGCTTTCAAGCCCAACGCTGCCATCGTGAGATGATGGTTTCTTGACGATTTCGCTGTCCGGGACAGGTCTGTCTAATACTCTAGGACTGTACTCTTTACTCTTTGATTTGTTTACCGTTACCACTGAGTGTCAACCATTCTCTATATGCGTTATGATAATCGCACTGTTCAGTTATTGTCCGAACACAACAAACGACACTAGTGTTTTGATCACAAACGTTATTTCGAGCATGTGACTTACCGCTTACTCCACTTGACAGATAAAGTTCTCGTTTATTAGTTCGACGGTGTTACACGGACGTTGATTAAATAATTAATAGTCGAATCTTTACCGCTCTTTAAACACCGATTTGTGGTCGTTGAATGGTTTGCAATCATTTTAATCAATCTTAAAACCTACGCCCCCGTTATTACATAGATAGCGGTTTAAAATTATTGTGTATCGAGATCAAACAAAATCAATAAAGGTGTACCAGAAAAAGCGATCGAATCTATGATAAAGTATGTCTATTGTGTTGACACAAGGATAGCGTCGGTCTATAATAGTTATACAATAATATCAATTATCATACAAAGTGCTGTACAGCTTAAGGGGTCAATAACACCGACATCACATATACGGATACGGTATAGTATACATTTTAATACTATTCCGGTAACAATATAATCGGCGCGACTTCCTTCCGGTCTTACAATAAACGTAAGGAACTTCCGTTAGTATCCGGGGCTGGTGTACGCGACGACAATGTAAAATCCGAAAACGCCGTTTCGTCAACTCTGCAGAGAATACTATGTTCAAGTACGGTGTCGTCATTGCTGGCGTCTGTGACCGCGGCAATGCGTTGGGATTTTGTAGTTGAAATTGTATACAAGACATACCTATACCTACTGCTATTAAAATACAGAAAGCATTCGAACGCGTTAAATGAAAAACGTTGTAGTAACAAGAAACGACGACGGGCTAAACGCGTCGGCCTGGAATTATATTTTATAATTTGTACTTAACGTGTACAATGTACATAATATAATATTATACTTTGTGTGTGTAATGAAACTCGGGATTTTTTTTTTCCTCTTAAAAATCTCTTTTGCCGCCCGCTATATATTATATGTACAAAATAATATTATTATACATAGTTATACCCACATACTACATAATATCGTTATTATTATTAAGACTCGGTGGATATATTATATTCGGTTGCCCGCACCGCCACACCATTATGTACGATTACAAATCATCCGTGAAACAAAAACGACAACCGACCGAGACGCGACCGGTCTTCAAAGAAACAAACGCAATAATATACATATATTACGCTAACAATCTCGAATTACCACCCTTACACGCATATTATATAGATTCGATATTATTTATATATATATATATATGTATAATTTTTTTTTTAACTCATTATTAGACACACACACACACGGCCTTTGTGTGCTCAAACCGACGGCTCCGGTGTTACACGAGGTTTAACAAGTTTATCATTTTTACACCTCTTGTTCTCAGGTCCGTCCGATCGCGTTTTCCGGCTCAGTCGTCTCGGGGCGAGCACAGGTACTCTCTGGTCGAAGAAGAGTTTTTTTTTAATTATTTATTATTTTTATTTCTATGTATGTTATCGAGAAAAACTCAAAGAACCACCGGGGCTTACCGCCGAAAACGTGTACGGGTATTATACGACGGTCTCCTCGGTAACACGTCAAAGGACACCGAGTACTCGAGTAATCTGTTTAAGCTGTTCATACTTAAGCCTAGACCGCCTTTTCCGCCTATATAATTACACGGTATTATAATATTGTCGTTGCTGTTGACGTTGTGGCCCGACACTGTTGTTGTTTTATTATAATTTTTCACAGTTTACCGCAGTAAATAACATTGTATGTATAGGTACCGCACTTATCGCAGTATTATCAATAGCCGAAATTGTCAATAATAATTGTAATACGCGACAATTCGTTTTTTTAGTTTGGTGGCACAAATACTACAAGAATAATAATAATAATCGTTGGTTTTTATAAAAACAATCTGTCCTTCGTTGACACTGCGTAGTAGGTATTGGTTTTAGACACCAGATTGGAGTGTTTTTTGAGTAACCGAAAACGAACAAGACAGACGATATTATTAGGTAGCCTACGCCCTACATAGTAACGTTTGGGAGTCAATCGTATAGTTTACAGCTAATGACCGATTTGTATCTAATAATAGAGTCGTGCCTATTGGTTTCGTATCCAGGGAACGTAAAATATTTATATCTGTCGCCTAATTAAAAGTCTATTGACTTAATATGTTCTATTTTCGGTGTTACGGCAATCGTGCGATTATGGTGTGTCTTTATGTTTTGTTCCATTTCGATTGTACATTTCCTAATTTTGGATTTTCGATAAAAATACATATGGCTTCGCAACTCGTAGGTCGATTATCGGTAGGTATAGGCATCGCTCTTGAAATATATGATAATAAATAGATAGGTACGTTGCAATATTGCCCGTCTAATAAGTAATTCCGATATAATGTAATATATATGTATATAAAATCCGATTATTATGACGATTATGTGTCATAGAACTTCCCCGCGAAAGTGTCCCAGGGGAAGAGGCGAGCGTCTTAAACTACTTAAACGAGTTCGGAAATATGCATTATTCAAAATTAAATTTATTTCTGTATCGTCCGTAGCGATGACCCTATCCCATAGTGTTATAATATAATCAGGTCCCGGTAGCGCCGAAGTTGACAATAATAACAACTGAGTGTATTTAAAGAGAGTGAGAGAGGCGGGCGGGAGGAGAGGAGAAAAAAATGTAAATCGGGTTTTAACGCTGGTGACAAGTAAAATAGATGCACCGGCTCTAAATAAAAATCCATTAGTTCGGCGAGACGTTAATTGGATATTTCGCCTGAAGAATCGGAATCGTGATTAACGGAGACGTTATACGTATATACATATATATTGTATAAGTAAAGTGCAGAGTGTATATATATATAAATATATAAAAGAGAAAAAGTCGGGGGAGTTAAAGGGGAAAACGAGAGTTATTCAAATTCCATTAAACCCAGGATGGCTGTGGCGACGATCCTTTTTATTAATTCCAATTAAACGCCGACGCGACGCCGTCGGCGGGTAAAAAACAAAATCTGCATAAGTTAAAAAACATTTATACCGCACCGCACGGCCCGAGATAGAGGTTACCCTGATTTTTTCCCCCTCTCACGAAAGCCGAAACCGCGTGAAATCGCTTCCTTTTTTTTTGTCGCTCCTTATTCTTCTCACCCTTTTTTTAATCTGCCGATAAAAAAAAAACAATATACGAATTATATCCCGGCAGCGCGCTTCGGTATTATATTATAATTTATAATAACAATAATAATTTTTAACGTTACGGCGTATCGAAGAGGCGAATTATTTTTATTATTAATTCCTCGAGTATTACATAATATTTGTTAATTATTGCTCGGTTTGTATTTGTACACTGTTTTTCCCAGGGTGGCTAGAGTGCGTTTTTGTAATTTACAAGATAAAAACAGTAGTGTAATAACGATGGTTTTTTTTTTTGGCTCTTTTTGTACTGACGGTGCCGGTTTTTTTTCTGATTGCAGGTACGGCATGGATCTGAACGGTGCTCGCAGAAAGAACGCCACCCGGGAGACGACCAGCACGCTAAAGGCGTGGCTCAACGAGCACAAGAAAAACCCGTACCCGACCAAGGGCGAAAAAATCATGTTGGCCATCATTACCAAGATGACACTTACCCAAGTGAGCACGTGGTTCGCCAACGCCAGAAGACGGTTGAAAAAAGAGAATAAAATGACTTGGGAGCCCAGGAACAGGGTAGAAGACGAAGACAACAACAACGAGGAAGACCGCAAGACTCCCGACCATAAAGATATCGGTAAGCACAGTAGTACATCACTTATATTAGTAGTAACTCGAGACCGAGTCGGTCAAATTATACACATTTTAATCACTCGCTTAACGTTATAGTTTTCCGGTTATTATATATAATGCAACTCACTTTAAAATTACATAAAATTATGTGAAACAATACGGACATAGTCTGAGGAGAAAGTACGAGTTGGATTTTCAATATTTTTTCTCCCTGAAATACAATGAAGTATAATTTAATACATACAATCAAAAACAGTCAGATATATTCTATGAAATAGTTTGTAAACTATATGGCAAAATAAGATAATTTATAGAATTATAAAATCAACGTGTTATGCAACCAGTTGCCCGCAATCACATCACATATATTATAATTCGGTTGTCTTAATTATTTTCCATTTAGGTTTGTCCAAAATTCAAGTATTTTTATCCTTCGTCGGTATAATTGGCGCACGAAAATAATATGATGTTTATTAGCGCAAGGGGTGGAATTTGCTGGGACACGTCCCAGCAAATTCCAGCAGTGAGAGGTGCCCCCCCCCCCCGCTTGTAATTTATTATTATTGCAATCTTTAGCCGACCGTAAGATTTGCATTGCGCCCGTTCGGTCTTCCGATATTCTTCTGATGTTGTAATATTATTATCGCGGCCGTATAACCGTGTTGTATATAATAATATTGGTATATTATTATTATTACACAATACCGACAGACGTTGAATCTCGCGTTATATAAGCGATCGAGATAGGCAATTTCGGCGGGGCGGCGTCCTCCGTCGTTAGTCTAAATCACTCGGGCTGTCGGTTCCAATGACCGTTTAAAACGTCGTCTTGGCCGGAACCGGGGGTGGGGGAGGATCTCGAGGGTCGACCCACCCCCCTGATTTTGGGCTGTTGCGGCGGTCGTAAATTTCCGGGGTCTAACCGCCGCCGCAGTCACGTGCTCTCATAATAAATATATATCCTCTGCGCTCAATGACACGGCCCCCGCGTAATGCACATAAATCCCGTACAATATACCGTATTTACTCACGGTGTACTGATCATTGCTGAACTCGTGATTGGCGTCGTCACGGTTTGACTTGACTCGGCCACAGTATACATATTATTAATACGGTTTTGGTATATTATCGCAACGTCATAATATTTTGTACAATGGCGGGGTTCTCGTCGACGGAAACGCCGTCTTGCGGGCCACGAGAAACGCGATCTTGTATAATATACGTTTGCCATACAACGATAATAATATAAGTACAACAAGTAGGTACAAGAGACAGCGCCGCAGTGTTGTGGTGTGATCTGACCTCGTAAAAACCGGAAACGCGCGTTCGTTGGCGACACGAAGACACGTGAAATATAAACACGTTAATAACATTATATTAGTATTATGATACTTTACACTGATGTGATAACCGAGAAAGGCGCGTTGTGTTGACGGCCGACGGCCGTTTAAGCGTTTCCGTGTCGCGTTGTGTAATTTTCACACGTGTAAAATATGTGTAGCAAGACGGTATATTTATGTCAACGCGCCCGGCGACCCACCGACAGATCATTTTTCAAGACAGTTTTTCCACAAATCAACCCCCAGCCCCCGTCCCCAATCCTACGCGCACCGGCAACACGAGTACACGCTAGAGGTGCACTTGAATTTGTTTTTATCTTCACTGAACCGTCTGAGTATATTTGGTTGACGACGCCTTAAGCAAACCAATCGTCGCGCGTGTGGTCTAATAAAATAGGTATAGAAATCTTGTGCATTTTATTAATTTCAACCAAATAGTTCCAAACTTAGCGTAAAATAATAAAGTAGCTAATAAAAAATGAATCGAATACCTAAATAACAACAACAATACGCCACGCCAAAGTTATTAACGACCAAATGACCAGTTATATTGACTTACATCAAACGGTTTTTCGATAAAAACACTCTCTACAGACATGGTGTTGTAATTAACGTTTTTCTGCCGGATTGAAACAACTAGTCAATCATTGTCTAAAATACTGTCTTAACCTTTTGACGTTGGTGGTTTTTTATGCCGGTGAATGGACCTGTTTGGGTAAATATTTCAGTGTCGATTTGCATACCAAATAATATATTTAATACGTTTTTTTACGGATTATAAAAAAAAACCAGATGTAATAATAATAATAATATTAACATACTTTGACTGATCTCTTGTTTTTTGTGCCTGTTAGCACACAGTAATTATAAACAGTACATAAAAACACACGTGTTTCGGTAAAATATTTTTTTATTATGATGTGTCGATCAATGACGGATAAAAGCCTAAGATTGGTCATGACCAGTTAACGCTTTGATAAAGGCCTGTTTTGTGAAACGAACAAGTACATTAAAAAAATATATATATATATTATTTTAACCGTTTATTGTTAATTTTTGATTGCAGACTGTAAAGACTCGGGAACGGGATCCAGCGAGGACGGTGACCGGCCTGGGGCCAACCACACGGGCAGCGAGTGGAGCGAATCTAGGGCCGACAGCGGGCCGGACTCGCCGGAGCTTTTCGAGAGACCGCCGCCGCCTCATTTCCTACACCATCCATCGCCGTACCATCACTACCCGGCCGCCATGGCCGCACACCATCACCGATTCCCGTCGGCGTCGCCGCCCGCACCGCCGGCAGGCCTGTCCCAGAGCAGCGCGCCCAAACCCCGCATCTGGTCGTTGGCCGACATGGCCAGCAAAGACACCACGGCCATGAGCACGTCGCCCACCCCGCCGACGCCCCCGTCGATGGCCCACGGGCCCTTTGGCAAACCCGGCTCCGAACACAGGCGGCCGCCCGCCGCGCCCGTACCATCGTTACCGCCAGGTTTTGCCCGGCACGAGCTGTACCGGTCGTTCTACGACGATCCCGCGTACAGGCCCTTCGGCGCCGGCACGTCCGCGTCTGTGTTTCCGTCGGCCATGGCCGCCGCAGCCGCCGCTGCCGCCCACAACAATCACCACACTGTGGCGGAACCGTCGCCGGCCTCGTCGTCGGACGCCGAGTCCATCGTACAGGTACAGCAGGCCGAACGGGCCTAATCACCACCGGCTCCAAAAATCTCAAGAAAATATTTTTTAAAACAAAGAAACGGAGCGAAAAAACTCGTAAATCCAAAGATAACATATTATATTATATTACTCGTATGTATATTGTTATAACTGTACATTTTATAAATAGATAACGTTTAATAGTACCTATATTATATTATAAAAATACATTTAAATATGTATATTGCATGTATAATTGTGCAGACAATAAGTTGAATAAAAATCTTGAAAATAAAAAAGATTATTCCGATACGTATATAATAATGAAAATAAAATATTATAGCAAAATGTATTTTAGGTGTATGTGTAATATTTAATCATATATTTATATAGAGGACAGGCGTACTCGAGTCTGTCCGGTTTAAGACGACTGGACAATCTTTTTACATAATTGCCGCGCACGAGGGATGTGTTACATTTTGTATGTATTCGTTATTGTTTTTCGTTTCCAAATAGGAATTATCGTACCGTAGTCTGTAACAGCCGTTATGTGCGGTTATAAAAGGCACGTGACAACTATTTTGGATTAAAAAATAAAAAGTATTCCCATTTTTTGTTTTTTTGTAGTGAAAAAAGTATTTACGACTAAAATAGACAAATGTAAAGACTAAACAAAAATAGGTTAGGTACACAAAAAAAAAAACTCCTCGTGCATCGTCACTCGTATTATTATATTATGATTACTATTGTTTAAAAATGTGTTTAGTGTATATTTAGCGGTTTTGTACATTGTACGATATTATAATATTTATCTATAGCAGTACGCGATATTATTTTATTTTGTAATTAATTGGAGAAAAAAACCCATATTGTTATAGCTTTAAATTTAAATTATTCTATTATGTTTTTTTTGTGATATTGTAGTCGGTACTTTTCCTAATACATTGTTTTTTCTTAAATAATATTTATACAATTTTTTTTTCCTTTTTACCAACATCTATTTATCTTAGGTAGTAAAATACATTTAAAAAGTTTATCGCGATGGCCGAAGTCTAACAAAAACTCACTAAGCAGAAGTCATATTATTATGGTATACATTACACCGGATCTTACGGTAAGAACAAACAAAAACGTGTCCATCGTACTCGGTGATGAACGTAAACAAATACAGGTTAATAAACCACCTAAGGTCAATAGGTTTTGATACTAAATGGTGTCGAACCCACCGCCCACATTATGAGTTAAAATTGTTTTTCGGAAAACGGTTTATGTTCGGAAATTAGTCAAGTCAGTCTAATGATGAACAGAATGTGCTCCATCTAGGTCAGCGTGCGACCTAAAATGTGTCCTCTTAAGAAATTGTTCACGGCTACTTTCCTGCTTCGGTCGGTATGACTTTTAAGCTATATTTCTTAAACAGAACATTGTTTTTCGTAAACGTTATTTTGTTTTCCGTTTGTTCTATCTTATTTCGTTGAAGTTTTGTCTCAAAAATAATACTGGCCGTGCTACTTAAAGCAGTGATGCAGCCATGGGTACCAACCGTAGATGCAGACGTGCAACGAGACCGATGATTATAATTTACAAAAGCACTCAAGCTCGCCATTTTGTCTAAGACCAAAGTCGTCGTAAAGGTAAAACTTAGCGCTATATATACGCGAGTCAAACATTGCGGTGGTCTAACCGCATTTATATTTCTGGTTTAAAACGCACGACCGTTTTTTTTTTATACTTAGCGTGGAATAAAAAGTACCGGGTCTGTGCAATAAACAAGCCATGCAAAAGAATAATAATTAACGATTGAACGTTACACCCTGTGTCGTTGTAGTGTTGTACACCGATGCGGCATTGTAGAGTGAATGTATGTATATAGTTTACAACAAGCGAATGACGTTGAGCGCATGTGTGTGTGTGTTACAATGACATATAGTACATTGTTGTAGTTAAGTTCATGTGTTCGTATGTACAAATACCTACCTGAGACGAATGAATTTATAGAGCTGCACTTGGCGCTGCGGCGGCGGCAGCGGTAGTGGTGGCGGCTCGAAGGGCGTTGAGACAAAACGAAAAAAGAAGCTGCGAGAAAAAAAAAACAATCGGTGTGAAATATTTTTGTTAGGGATTTATAATGGCCAATTAAACGAGCGACAAGAATGCAGTGGTACTAGGCATAAGACTTATTATTATACGTACCCGTGTATGTGTGTGTGTGTGTGTGTGTGTCTTGTGCTCCGAGTTCAGGTCGGCTCGAGAGTAGGTACACATGGTAGTGTAGAAGTATCAAAGTGGTGTGTATAATAATGCTACTCGACAAAGCATTGTTGCGCGACAAGCGCATTCCGAGGCCCAAATTGTGTGCCGTTCGTCGTAAATCACACACACACAAGTATTCCTGCGCTCGGTAAGGTGAGAACGAGTGAATTTTTTTTCTGCGGTTTCCCTCCGCTGCCCCCTCCTGTTATTTTACACCTTTACCAAAGATGGTCGTGCAAAGATAAAGCGAGTCCTTAACAAATCGACACTTTGCGTTGCGGAGAAGACCACCAACGCCGCCGCCGCCGCCTCGTGTACCCATCTTAAGTCGGACGACGACTAATTTGTTTTTCGATTGTCCTTTGCCGTTGTAATGCGCATAATATGTCTTGGCAAGCGTGTGCCCGCGCCAGCCGAGAAGAATGCCGGTGTACCCGTTCGCACACAATGGAACAACCGCCGCGTCGGTCAACTTCTTTGCCGTGTTTCATTAGTATTTTATATTCCAAAACATACTATACCCACGCCAGTGTACATAATAAAGTATAGGTTACCGTCGGTAGTATGTGCCAACGTGAGTATATACCTGCAATAAATCCGGGGTAATAAGATCGAAATTTGTTCCAATAATAATAATAATTGTATTCAAATCAGATAGAAATTAAATAAGTGAACCGTCGGTCTATAGGTTGAAATGAAAAAAAAAATAAAGTACCTATGTCGAAACACACGATTTGAATATATTATTATTGCCATAAAAGCTAACTTAACTTCTAAACCGTACGGTTGTGTTGTACTTTTAAACAAAATTGTCCACAAAATTACCAACTACAAGTAAATTGTTTATTTTTTTTTAATAATATGTCGCTTAGTAATATTTTTGGTAAAATTTCTTTTAAGATGAAAATATATTTAAAGTTATTTGTATGGTAAAACAAAACCTTTTAGTTTACGACAAAATAATTTATTTTTCACGATTAAATAAAAAATACGATTTCGTATTAAAATAATATTAAGTACATAAAGATAGTGAAACAAGATATCAAAATAATTGTATAATGACTCACACTGTTCATTTTTTATGAAAGGCTTAAATTCACACTTTATAAAAACAGCTACAGTTAATATAGTATAATATATTTTTATTTCTAGTCGTACGTCGGAAAAATGTAATTAGATAATAGATTCATAGTTTATGTAAAAAAATGACTTTTTTGTATTTAGCACCTTTTTAAATAAGCGATTCAAGTAGCAATATACACTATACACAAGAAGTTTTACAAAATTACTCGGTTACACGCTATTTAGATATTTGTCAACGTGTATCACATGTGTTGCACATGCATCACAACAATATTCGCGTTACGTCTATTAATTTAGAAAATGTAGTTTGTTTGTTGTTTCAACAGAAAGTTTATGCGTTTATATTTTTAACGATTCCCTAGTTTTGTTTGATATATTATCATAGGACAACACGTGTAGACATTTAAATCGTTTATTGAACATTATACCTAATTGATTTTTACACACGTTTAAACGACGTCACGGGAAAAACACATAATATTATAATTATCGCCCGGTTTACTATTTGTTAGTTAAATCACACTAACGTGAACATTATTATTGTTTGATCAATTGGTATACTACGTTGGGTCGATGGACGACCGCATAGTCAATAAATTTCAAGCCGGCAGCGGAAACACAATGTATGTAACAAAAAGTAAGTACGTTTTGATGATAACCGCGCATTTACATATTTTGTTTGGCTACAGGTAAAAATAATGTTAAATATGTGTATTTATAGTCAATTAGTTATTTATAATCGTGTAGACGACTATTTTTACTTCCTATTTAGGTCGCCGCACGTTGTGTTTTTTTTTTTTAAGTAACGTGCACCTTATTTGTTTGTACACTCGTTGTTTGCATTATAGCTACAACATGTTGAATGTAACCTGTGCACTAGGACAATGACTGAACTACTCTTAGAATGTATAATTGATATGAAAGTGTATAATTTTCTACGAAAGTCCAAGAGCATACATACATTGAATCTTCAAGAAAATCAGCACAGACTCGATTTACACGGTTTAATAATAGAAAAAGAAGACAAATGCGGCTATTCTAACCAAAAAAAAAAATGGATTAATAATTTGTATTTGGCCATAATTGATGGCTTTTAATTTTATAATCTTTCAATATTGGTCGACTAGCTCTCTAGTAAATTATCTATTGTATATAATTTGTATTGGGCTTTAAATTCCCAAATGGTCCTTAAAAATGTCGCTAGATATGTATGTGTGTGTGTGTGTGTGTGATGGAGAACTGAGAAGGTGTATTGTATAATATTTGCGATGTCTACGATTAATGGCTGCGTTGAGTGACGGGCAGACGGTATAGTCATCAAATAAACATTATTTTCAGGAAGCATTTCACAGATAGATTAGGCGTAATTGCTATTAGCATGCGTGTGGAGGTAATACATAAAAAAACGTTATTGGTCTATCAGTAAATAATGTGAGTGGTGTGTACTATTTCGACGCATACCCAAGTCATTGTCGATTTGTGTAGTTACAACTTCTCTACGCGTTGTTTTTGTTAACAGGCAAAGTTTTTTCTTTATTCATGGATGTAAAAATAAAAAAAACTAGTTCAGATAAAGAATAACTTGTGTTCCGACCTGTTGGATACAATTTTTTTTTTATATTCAAGAACCATATAATTTTATTATTTATTTTTTTCTAACAAAGTATTTTCGTAATTAGGTACCTACTTATTTGTATAAATTTTATTTCATATAGAAAAAAACATAACTTATTATAGTGTAATTACGACTAATTATTTAGATTATCTTTACTAATGGAACAAGTCGCTAGCGTTTTAAATTTTTAGTCGCAGTTTTATGTACCCGCCTTAGGTTGTTCGGGTTATAGGCCGATTACCGGATTCAAACGAGTTCCGTCAGAAAAATGTTTTTAAGTAATTATAATTCATTGGGCGCGATAAAGGTAGGTTTTTTTTCCTTTAATTGAGCCACATGTCATGTTTATAAGTAAATATATCTACGAGGAGGTTAATTCCTCTCGGTGAATGCATTTAAAAATCCGCTACAAGTTTAAACTTTTTCATAGTAATGTATACGTGTGAAAATATGTATTATATTCGTATAAAATTGACTAATATTACTTAAGGTTTATAAAATATAAATAGGCAAAGTAGTTTACACGTATTCAAGGCTGGTGGGTTCGGTAGGAGGAGGAGCAAATGAAACTACTATAGTATAATCACATTTTTAATAGTTTTTATTATTTTTTTCGAGCGGCTGGTAAAATTATTAAGAATATTATCGGATTATCTGAAGTCTAAGTCGAGCCACCGAACTAGGCCCATAAGAATATGCCAATTGGCAATTACCAAATTCTCGGAGGCAGCATTTAAATGTAATGCGGCTTGTCCTGTTGGATCCTGGTAAACGGTTGCTACCGAGTTTTTGATGTACCTACCTAGTTTTAAATCTTATAGCAATTTATTTTTTTGCCAATACAAACGAGTGGCATACTAATCAAATTACGGAAACAGTTGAGTAAACATTTTCCTACAGTAATTACACTATTACTCATTTACCACGTGTAACGTTATATTATTTCACATTAATTATCAGTAAGT